ATATATATTATAATTACATTTAAGCATGAGTGCAAAATAGACTACTAGTATTGATATTGTCATACTTGCATAGACCGGTGGTAACAGCTCGACCAGAAAGTAAGTCGAGTTGTCTATGATGATTTGGGTTAGGCATGTCGACCCGTTTTAATTATAACTCGAGGTCCTTAATTAGGTTTAGGGGTAACGATTTAAGATCCCCGAGTCCTACTTGTGAGGTCAACTGATACAAAGATTTGAAGAGCAACCACAGAATGGCTCGATGTTGGCAAGAAGACGAGCAACCTGAGGACGATCTAGGAACGATTTGCGAGAAGCTGGGCATGGGGATAGCAACTTCTACCTATCAATGTGAGTCTTAGTCGACGTCATGTATCTCGAGGTCAACCTCACTCAATCTCGCAACTCGAGGCTTATATTGGCGAAGGTCATATCTTGACACTGGCTAAAAAGAAGTAACCTGAGGGCCTCGAAGATAGTCCGAGAGCAAGAAAGGGGCAACGATAGAGACTCCTCTATAAATATGAAGAATGACAGGCGACCTCCTGTATCTCGAGGTCGACTGCACCCATCCATACTGCTCTTTCTGTAGAGTATTTTTCTCTCTCCTCGAGAATGTCTTAAGCATCGGAAGCTCGATTCCGAAAACCCTTACGACTTTTAGTTCTTGCAGATGTTCGTGGCGATTCATACACGGTTCAAACAGATCGGAGACCGGTTAAATCCAAATTTTGGAGATGACCCATCAAGTATGAAAATAAAATAATTTATCCCTATCTCTTACTTTAAATGCTCGAACATGAAAGTTGAACTTTACGGATTGACCCGTCAATTCAAAGGAAGTTCGGGAACCGACAGCCGCATTTAATCCCTATCTCTCTCTGCGTGTTGCGCCACAAATAACAGGTAACTGTATTTTTTTATATATACTCCTAATAAAAAACAATCATCCATATCCTTTTTTCAACCTTTACACGTATTATTCAAACCCCAACCCGACTTCTCTACAGCTTTTCAATTGCTCTCACAGATCAATCTCAAAAGGTTCCTTGTAACGTGCAAACTACCCCCTTTCCACGGTAAAACGGTGTCGTATTGCCTTTCATCGTTGTTTCTTATCAACGTTTTTAGCGGGTAATAAAACTAGGGCTTGCGCTTCAGCTTCTGATACTGTGAAATACCTAAGTCTTTACTGTTGATTGTGTGTTCTATAAATTTTATATTTATTCTCTTGTTTTTTTCGAAAAAAAAGCTTTTGAAAATTTTATGGAACTGGGATTGTTGGGGAAGAAAAGCTTAGAGCAGGCGAGGAGGAAGAGAAAATGGCTTGCTGTTATGGGAGCATTAGGATTCACAGTTTACGGCGCCTACAGATTTTACAACTCCCCTTCAGTTGTCCAGCAGAGGCAAAAGCTGACGAAACTAGTTAATGCATTCGTTTCTTTAGCCGAAATGATGTCCGACTCGGCCGATGCCGTCGGCATTCTTTCGAGAGATCTCAAGCAGTTTCTCGGTTCCGAATCCGATCAAATTCCTCAAAGTCTAAAGCAAGTTGCTAAAATCGCCCGGTCGGACGAGTTTTCCGAGTCGTTGACTCGGTTTTCGCGGGCCGCAACTCTCGGGATATTGCGAGGTTTTCATCACGAGTCGTTATCGAGCGGTGAAGGAACTTTCTTGGATAAATTGTTCTCCGAGGCGGGGACTGGTTTCGCCTCGGCTGTCCTCGGGAGCTTCGCACGCAACTTGGTGTTGGCCTTATATTTGGAATGGGAGAACGAAAACAAAAACGGAAAGTCTAATCCAAGATGGGTCGAGGTCGCCTGCGAGGACAAGTGTCGGCAGCTGATTGGGGACTGCGTACGATCGATTGTGAGCACGGCCGTGGCCGTTTATCTAGACAGGACGGCACATATCAACACATACGACGAGATATTCTCCGGCCTCACGAACCCCAAACATGAAGCTAGGGTTAAGGACATGTTGGTCACACTATGTAACAATGCGGTCGAGACTTTTATCCGAACTTCCAAGAACGCATCGAATGCAAACAGCCCAAGATACAACACTTCGACTTATTCGAGATTTGATTTTGAGGACGGTTTAAGTGGGGACGAGAAGTTGAAACTGATATCGACCACATTGCACGCGAGGAGATTGAGGGAAAGGAATTCGGAGGGCGGGTGGAGTAGGAAGATGTGTTCGGCAATGGCTGTGCCGGTTAACCGGAAGTTTGTGCTTGACGTGACGGGACTTGTGACGTTCGAGGCTGTGAGGTCTTTTCTCGAGTTTTTGCTGTGTAGGGTGGCCGAGTGCATGAGGAAGAGCATGGGCGCGGTTCACGAGGAGGTGTTTGATAAGGGGGTCGAGGTGGTTAGGTACGTTGGGAGCAGATCTTCTGCGGTTACGGCTCTTTGTCTTACGCTCTGTCTCAACATACTGAATAGCCCTTGGATTTTGGCACACCAGTAGCTTGGCTTGGATTCGAATGGACTGAAGCCTTGTTTGATTCTTTTGTGATGTGCAATTTCGGATTGTGTGAATGTACATATTAATTTGGGGCTCGAATGGCCGGAAGCCTAGTTTGATTCTTATGTAATGTTCGATTTCCGATTGTGTGAATGTACATATTATTTCGCAAACTCTGTGTCGAACTGTGTAAACGGTTTCTCTTGTTTGGTTTAGTATCTGTTGTTCTGTAACGTGGTGTTTAAATTTCTTGCTGCGTAATATTTTATGCAGGAGAGGCAGAGAGATTCTGAAGAAACCATTGAGCAATGTTTTCTGCAATGTTTTTATTTTCTTTCTATTCTTTCGCTGATACTCAACTATTCAACACAATTAAACTCGAGGAAATTGCTAATCATTATACCACAATTCTTCTGTTAAAAAATAAAATAAAATAAAATTGAAACTGCATAGGATCACGTTGGAAAATAGCCCCAGCACTGTACCAACATATTATTGAACAGCTAAGGGGGTGATTGGATATGAATTCAACTAGAAAAAATTTAGTTTTTTTTAACTATAGTTAAGTTTGAAAAAAAGTAGTATGGTTAGTTGTTAGTGGATATATTAAAATAATATTTAAATTAAAATAATTAAAGTTGATTTGATGTAAAAGTATGAAAAAGTGATTGGAAGTGGTAGTTAGTTAAAATTATGTGAGTGGATGAATAGTGAATTAAAGTTGATGTGATGTGTAATAATTATTGGTTGATATTATTTAATTATATTGATAATATTGGAGATAGTGGAGTTGAGTTAAATTTGAGTTTTGAGTGGAATATTTACTGTAGAAATCATATACAATCACACCCTAAATCTTCTTCTTTCTTACAACACTCCGAAATGAAATCCCTTTACCTGAGTTAGGCCAAAAACAATTACTATAAGCTCGGTTGCACTCGAGTGTCGATAACATGTCATTGCAACACAACAATGGAGGGAGGTCCTTCATTTGCTGCATGTTTCAGTGTGAAGTAGGAGAAGTGCTGTTATTCTCTTTCGCTGCAGTTTCCTCTTGAAGTTTTTTCTTCCAGTACTCATCAAGTGGGGGTCCAAATATGGCTTTTCCAGACACAACTCCTATCCTGAATTTGAAAAAACAGAAACCAAGCGTTTATCGAAAAGCGAAACCTTTCAACCAACGATCAATAAACATGGTAGAGCTAAGCAGCTAGGCTTAAGAATATCTCCCCGGGTTATCTTTCTGTATCACGTGCAAATTATAAAATTATGTTTCCTAAATTAGCGACCACACAACATCTTCCTTTCGAAACGTTTTCACCTCTTGTATATTCAGCAAACAAAAAGTTCATGTGACATTTACGAGCTTTCACAATGGGAGTTACTTACAGAAAGTTGATATATACGGTACATGTTCTTTGAGGCTATTTACAAAGAAAAAGAACAATGTTCAAATTAGTAGTCACTCTGCAACCTAGCAACCTCTTATAGTATTATCCTAAGCCACAAGAGCATAACCTATTATAGTATTATCCTAAGCCACAAGAACAGAGAAGATACTAAGGAAATAAACAACATCATGAGAAATATCTACATACTATACATCACCAATACAGAACTAGCGATACCAACCTTCGTTTTCTCAATCAGTACCCAATTATCAAATATCAATCAACAACCTTCAATAGTTTAGAGAAATTAGGATGTATCGATATATATTCCATTGAAACATAACCTAGCAACCTCTTACGTAGTAGTTCACGATAGATCAATCGTGTAAGAAATCACAAATGGTGTTCCGTAACTGGAACTTGCACACATTCCTGATTGGAATGCATCATTGTAAAAGAGAAATTATACTCATCCAAACACGCGTATATGCAGCAACGAAACCAGCATTAGTCCGGCTACCAAATTTCAAGACTGAAAACCCTAATCAGTTTACCCTTCTTTGTGCTTCAATTCGCACGGATCAAATTTATGCGCCCGGCTTCTGACAGGAGAATACACTTAATAATTAACACCAAAATCAATTTGTATCTAGGGTTCCAAAAGGCAATTCGAAAACAACAAAATTCGGAACATTTAACAGCAAATTGAGTACAGAACAGTAAACTACATCTCCTCCATTCAATTGTATACTCAAGTAAAAGTATGTAAACATATTCTAAGTGGATCGAAAACTTAAAATCATGAGGATAAAGCTGTGCACAAAAATCATCATAAAGCAAAAAGTAGTGCGCAGAGCTAACCAAAGAGCAAACAGTTGAAAAAGAAGAAGACGAAGAACAAGAAGAAGAAGAACTGAAAAAGAGAAAGCTTACACAACAGCTCCAAATACCAGAGGTACTGAACGGAATCTTCGCCGGAATAACATTTGTGAGGCTTTTCTACTTGACGGCCGAGCATCAACTCTGCTTCTGAAGATTTTGACAGATTAAACTCTGAGATCCCACTATAATCAATAGTGGGCCGATAATGAGGAGTGGGTCTTTTGCAAGTTTTGGGGGGTTTAGGTACCAGGGGTTTGGCTTGAACATTTGGTCTTTCAGCCCAATTATTTTATTTTATTTATTTATTTATTTTTTACCTCGATCATTTTTACGATGAATTTTTTTATATACACATGATTTGGAAAAAAATTATAATTTTACCATATGGGGCAAATTTTATTTGCATCTTTATCAATTTCATGTTAATTAATTATAAATATAAACCAAATTACGGGATTTTCATCTACCAAATTAACCGCCTCCCCAACTTACGGCATTATCAATTACCAAATAAAGTGAAACCGCATATCGGGGGTTTTCAGTTCTCAGGTTTTTTGATATAGACAGTATATATTCAGTATAGCTTGATTTTTTTTATTTACATAGCGTTCTTATATAACCATAATTGTGATATTTGGGTTTTTGTTCAGTATATAACCTATCATATATATATATATATATATAGGATATTATACCCATAAGGTTAAACCGGTCTATTGACCGGTCGAGGAAGTCAAGGAAATCGAGCAGTTAACCAGTCGACCAGCAAAGCTGTCGACCAAACTATCTTTCGACCAGATGAACGATCGAGTAGTTCAGTCGGCCTCGACAGGTCGACCACTTTGAGGACTTAACGCTACATTGATCGGCCTAGTCACAGGCGCGTGAGAGAGCCTCTAACTGAATTTTAGGAGAATATTTACCCCATGTGCAGGGGGACACGTGTCGAGAAGGCAGTGGTTGATAGCGATAACCACCTCTGACAGCCTACCCCATGTGCAGGAGGACACGCATCCAAAGGGGATTGGTGCAGGAGATAGTGGCGACGGCTACCTCTGACACACGCGTATGGTGTGTACGGACGGACAGTTAGGGCAGACAGCTCATCAAATCCGGGCAGCCCTAGGTCAGGTATCTCACCCCTATATAAAGGGGGTGAGTCTTTCTTCTTCAACACGATCATTCTATTACTTACTCTTGAGAATTGATTGAATATACACTGACTTAAGCTACGGAGTCTCTTCACCGAAAAACCCCTCTGGTGTGAGAGTTCTTTGTAGGTGCACGACGTTTAACCGGCGAGAAGGAATGTGATTATTCAAGTTCCAGCCGGTCGGGAAGTTTTGTGTTACCATTTGGCGCCATCTGTGGGACTTTCGTTTGAGAAGTTGTGTTTGAAGCTTAGCTATGGCGGACGGAATTCCCAAAAACTTGCAGTCGATGTTCGACGACGCTTGGACGACGATCAGGACATTTGGACAAGGCCCTCCTCCGGGTTTTTCTGGCCCATCGCAGACACCGATCACTCCTACACCTGTCCTCCAAGGTGTGGAAGCGACGACAGCGATTCCCGGAGGGGATGCCGGCTCCAATCGTGCCCAGGAGATTCGCGCAGCGGCTGCGGTGGTGTATCACCACCGCCGCCCCAAAACCCAGCGGTAGCGCAACCAGGAGGAGCGGTAGCGCAACCAGGAGGAACGACGGAGCAAGGAGGAGCACCACCACAGGCAGCGGTGCAAGTCGCCGGCCAGCAGGTGGTGATGACCAGGCAGGAGATGCAACAAATGGTGGCGGAGACAGCTGCGCAGGCGGTGCAGCAAGTTACAAACAGTCTCTCTCGGGCTTCCACGATGTCGAACACTGTTGCGGGGTCACGCCAAAATGCGGAGGAGGATGAATCTAGCTATGGTGGAGGCGGGCCCCCACATGATCGAGAAATGGAAAGAATGGCGGAACAACTGCATCAATTGCAGGCTAAAGTGGATGGTCGAACAGAGAGACGCGCTCGAGGACACCCGTTCTCGACGGACATACTAGCAGCACCCTTTCCAACCAACTTCAAGAATACCAACTTGGTGTTCGATGGGACTTCTGACCCGTCGAGGCACGTGAGGACGTTCGAAAATATGGCTGTGTTACATAGATATACTGACCCCGTTAGTTGCAGGGCATTTTTATCAACCCTCAGTGGAGGCGCCCTCGATTGGTTCCAGCTCCCCCCAGGCTCGATTGCAGACTTCGAGGATTTTGCGGAGAAGTTGACGAATCAATATTCGAGCGCGGTGGCTCAGGAGAAGACATACTTAACCCTGATGGCGATGAGACAAGGCGAGAAGGAGTCACTGCGCAAATATGTAGCCCGATACAACCAGGCTTGTTTGGAGATCCCGTCGGCGGTCGATGAGGTCAAGGCGGGGGGGTTGATTAGGATTTTGCGAGTGGGGCCATGTCGGACCTCTCTGGCTAAGACCCCGGCTCACACTTATGATGAGGTGTTGAGGAGGTGTAGGAAATATATTAATCTCGAGGAGACTGAGGCGGAGTTTGCCAAACTAGAGGAGTTGGGTCGCGGGGAGTCGAAGAAGGAGAAGGCAGTTTCGCCCAAGAGGAGAGCTTTGCCAGGAGAGAAGGGCGAACTAAGCAGGATCGGGGACGCGAAGACAGATGGAAGGACCGGCCTATCTCTGGAGGAAAGAGATTTCATGATTATACCCCGTTGAATGCAAAGGT